CTGAGACCCTGTCACAAAACCAAACAAAAAGGAAATAATTATCGGTTATATATTTCTTCCTTTCTTTCTTTTTTTTTTTCGAGACAGGGTTTTACTGTAGTTTTAGAGCCTGTCCTGGAACTAACTCTTGTAGACCAGGCTGGCCTCGAGTTTCTGCCTGTCTCTGCCTCCTGAGTGCTGGGATCAAAGGCGTGCACCACCACCGCCCAGCTTATATTTCTTGAATTACTTAATTCAACTGCATGAAATAAATACACACCAGGAGAGGCAAGAGTACACATGGAAAAGGTAAAGGAACTGGGTGTCTTCGTGTAATCCTTGTACTTGATAATTACTTCTGACAAAAATCTGATAGGTTTGTAGAAACACTAGTATTTGTGGATTTTTGTTTGTTCTTTCACAACAGGGTTTCTCTGCATAGCCCTGGCTGTCCTGGAATTTGCTCTGTAGACCAGGCTGGCCTCAAACTCAGAGATCCACCTGTCTTTGCCTCCCAAGTGCTAGGATTAAAGCTTTGTGTCACCACGCCTGCCTAGATTTATTTTATGGGTGTGAATGCCTTGCTGGTGCCCACAGAAGTCAGAACAGGGCATTGGATTTATGGATGGTTGTAAGTCACCATGTGGGTGATGGGTATTGAACTCTGCAAAAGCAGCAAGTGGTTTTAACACTGAGCCATCTCTCTCAGGCGGGGGTGGGGGAGGGAGGCATGGCTGGTGGGGCGTTTGCCTTTAATCCTAGCACTCAGGAGACAGAGACAGGTGAATCCCTGAGTTTGAAGCCAGCCTGGTCTACAAAGTGAGTTCCAGGACATCCAGAAATACACAGAGAGACCCTGTCTTGAAGAAAGAAAGAAAGAAAGAAAGAAAGAAAGAAAGAAAGAAATAAAGGAAGGAAGGGAGAAACTATTCACCCCACATAGGGGTAATCAGTACTTCTTGCTGGGTTGCAGACTTCATCAAAATAACCTTCCCTAGCTCACCTAAGAAGAGATTAAACGTACAAGACATCCAAAGTAAAA